AGAATCTCATGAGAAAACGCAACGGTTCATGAATAAACGTGTCGTTAGGACCCTATTGCATTCCTCTCCGTTATTAATGTAACTGCGGTCAGTAATAATGGACAGCAGAAGAACAAAAAGAATAACGATTTAGCTATCGATATGAAGAACTGAGATTATTTATATCAGATCACTGTGGTTGTCTCAGTGTATTTGAGATAACGTCTAACACCATGTGCAAAGTATCTCTGTGCAACTTGGAACAACTTCGACCACCCTCCTGGTTCCGAATTTGCGGAGCTGGCATTCTGGAACTTTTGTGTAATGGAGAGCTACTGCAATTTACATAAATAGACGATTTGTTAACACTAAGACTCTACGACAATTTTTAAAAGGCTAGTATCAATAAGCATTCTCTCGAAAATCGAACCATGTTAATTTCACGAAGACTTTCACTTAGTAACGTGGCAAATGACAGGTTGCTCATCATTGCCATGAATTGGTCATCAACGAACTGCGTGCGAATATATTCTGCAGCACGCTATGAAACTGAATCTATCGTACCCCTTAACATCATACCACAAAGGACCGGTCGTTCTTAGTTGTCCACAGTGTCATGTTGGCAGGAATAAAAGATCTACTGATATTCGATCACATTTTAAGGACATTTGAGTGATTCAAGCATCAGCAAATTTTTTTCCTTATGACAATCTCCTATTTCAAGAAAGGAATTAAGAAGCACTGGCTGGCCATTATGAACCACTGCTTTAGACATATAACATTTTGTGCCATGATTCAAGAAAATATCAATGGTTGGAAGTGATAAAAATGACGGTGATTAATGAGCAAAGAAAAATGTTAAGATCGTCAGTCAGCATGACTGCAAAACTTTGATAACTGTGCCAGTACGTTACACATTTTTAACACGTTAAATTCAATTTTTTTGTTTAAGCATGTGTGCCGCTGACTGTTGACATGATGTGGTGCTAACTATTGCAGTTACTCTTGCTTCTGGCACTGTGTCATTTTGAAATTTTTTCTTCAATTGATTCAGTTCATTGTCTGCCATAAAATGTTTTGACATCTCAATGTTTCACTGTTTTCGTGGAAAAATGAACTTCTATTATTGGTAGTTTTGCTTGTTCACTAGCACTCATCATGAAAATCCTTTATCCCTAAATAACTATTTTTATAAGAAAATAAAAACATTTGTGCGAAAAAGGTATTTGCTAAAATAAATAGGATAACTGCCATCACCAATAAAAAGTTTGCGTTATATATTGTGAGTATGAAATGCATTGAAAGTATTGTGCGTTTCATCTATATAGTCGTACATTTGGGTACCGTGTATCATAGTTATTACTTTATCCTACAAATCATTTTTGTACATGATTTGAAACTACGTTTGAAACGTGTGAGGTGCTCTTGTCGAATTTGCAAGTCGTCAGCAGTATGTTCGCTGTCCCTCTTTCAAGATATGTTGTTGCTACCCTTGCTGGCATCGTAGGTGTCATGTTTGCAGCGTATTGCATTTATTTCGACAATAAGAGGCGAAGCGATCCTGATTTTAAGCGGAAGCTACGCGAAAGTACTACTTTGCTCTTGTATATGCACTTTTTCAATTAATTAACTTGTTCTAGAGAGAGCAATTCAAAAACAACAGCAGAAGACGAAGAGAAATCCCGCTGCTGTAAGGCTTTTGGCGCGCTTATGTTTCTGACGAGATGGTGTAAAATTTTGTTGCTTCAGATCCCGAATTTCGCGGACCCCAACGATCTTCAGGCGTTTTTCTTACAAGAGGTACAACTTGGCGAAGAACTCCTGGCAGAAGGTACATTCGAACGCCTGTCTTTTGAACGTGTATTTGAAATGCTTCTTCTGATATGTATTTTTTCTTAAGTACATTCATCCTGGTGTATTCTTGTGCGCTGAACCCTAGCTGAGTTAAAGTGAAGTCCATTGCTATTGTAGTCTTTTGGGAGATACATTAATGCCTACATTTTGAGCCAGTCTGACAGGCCTTCTTCAAAGTAAATTTGGTGTGAATTCGGTTTCTCTTTCGGTCGTTTGTTGCAGGTGGTTCGTCTGGAGTTAAGTTTAGAAGCCTCTGCATATTACTTTGTAGACCAAAATACAGCGCTATTGATCATATCGTGCTGTTGAGTTTAAAAGGAAGTTGGCATCTGTTTGAAAGGTTAAAAAGAAGGATTTTTGAATCATTTCTCGTTAAAGTTGTTCGCAGCTTTCTGCTGACTTTGTGCAGAAACAGCATACTGGCGGAGAGTGGCGATAGTAGCAAATTATGGGGACCAGTGATAAGATAGTTTTACTGTTGTGCTCATAGTTTTACCGTTCCCATGCTAACAGTTTTACTCTTCCCAGTTCCAAATTCAAATTTCCGAATTAATTGCTGCAATAACTTTTCCTTCCTGCTTTTCCTTTAAAACAGATAGGCAGATGCTGCCATCCATGAGAATACCAATCGATAGAGGATGCCTAACATGTTTCTTTAGTGTTGTTTCTGATATATTTTGGTAAAGCAGTGATTTTCATAACTTTCGTTGCCCCATTAGTTCAGAAATCGGCCAGGTTAACTTTTCGTCTTGTATAGTAAGGAGTTTATTTGAAGCTGGAGGAAGAATTGAGAATAGAGATTGGCGTATTCCCTCCTTTCTGGCACTGCTGATATTATCGTCTTGCCCTTCAGGATAATGTTATTCTCTGAATCCTCACTCTTTGAAGAACCGAGAATTGAGTATGAGTGTTAGTGCTCTATACTTTTGTGCTAAAGCCATTCAACTAAACTTGTTCCTGAAATTTATAAACAACCCGATGGTCATTGACAGTAAACCAAAAAGTCGAATATTTAGTTGGTACCAAACTCTGAATCTTAGAACGGGGTTTCCTTATCATTGTGAAAACAATATCACACATGTAATTGAGATTTTAATGAACATGCTTAGTATTCAGAGGCATAATGCAGAACGACAATTTAAAACGCAATGCTATATGATTTTTTCAGGAACCTATAATGAATTCTGTTAACAAACAGTAAGTGAGAAATACTCTAAAAAAATGGTTTGTAAAAAATCTTCATAGTGATTTCCATTAGCGTTATTTTTTGCATAATTCTTGGTATGCAGTGGTATCTTCATCGTTCAAAACCGAAAGGTTGGATGAAAAACTCTTCTCGGTTTCCGATTTTCTTCTTTATTCCACTGCGCCTAGAAACGGTCTTTTCATAAAATTTCTCTGTCAATATTTTCCTTCCATGTACTAAATTTTTTAATTCACGTTGTCTTCAAGTAGTAAGGCTTATTTTCTTTTTCCAGATGCTTTTCCTCGGTAGCCTTTTTGCTTCTTGTAGAATTGCTTCGGTCCCTTTATTTTGAGCTTATATTTGACAAAATGTTCTTCTCTGCATATATTCCGTTTTCCACTACTTTACAGCGTATAAGCGTCCCGTATAGACGTGCTGACGATTTCTGTAAAGAGTATTACAAGAAAATGTAGCGACTTTCCCCTAAGTTTCATTAAATTGGTTATTTTCATATTTTTATGGCTGTTTTGTTTTTCAGCAGCAAAAAGTGTCAGGTTTATTATTAAGTCGTTGTACGGTAAGATTCTTTGTCAATTCAGTTACTCTTTTGATGTTGAATCATTCATAATTTATTTTAATTTATTTCACGTCCTTTCCATAATTAGTATTTATAAATGTCTGTCATTTCTTTTATTGATGAATTCGAAAGTGAAATTCAATTTTGGTATAATTTTGGTTTGTAATATAACATCAACAGCAAGAAAAAGTTTCCCACAGCGATATGATTCATTAAATCTATGTGTAATATGCAGTATACAAAAATTTATGGAATTGAAAATGATCGTCATAATTCGTTGTTTGTTCTCTGTTCATAATGTGAACTTAAAAGTGGTTGACATCCTTAGGACCACTCTTGTCCGTCTCAGCGTCTCTACTTCAGAAAACTGACAACATTCACAGCGGGGAACGTAATGACAGGGAAAATACATATTGCGGAGCCTCCTATCTTCCGTAAGGTCTAAAGAAGCAATGGTAATCACTGTTAGGAGAATGTATCCCTTTCGTACTTATATTAGTCAGATTGGAACTGTCCATAATAATCCTGGAGAGTGCAGGAAAAGATTTTCATGTGCCATTTATCATCCACACTCTGACCAGAGCACGACGGCTGAGGGCGGATGAATTTTGTGAATCTGTTTCATTTTGTATGTATATAGTAAAAAATAAGCGTTCACAAGCAGATAAAGTTTCAAACCTCCACATCTTGCGTTCAAGGTTAGATAGGATAAAAAAATTTAGTCACTGTTTCTTTTTTGTTAACACGGACTATGACACGACCTTTCCGTGTTATTGTTTGAAGTTTGTGATTGAGGTTCTTTTTCATGGCAGGCTTGCAGTAGCATATAGAAAGTGTCTACCAACCCCTGATTATCGCTAACGTTTTTTGGGATTCATGACCAAGAAATTTCATTCTCCTTGACTTCTCGCTGACATCCGTACTTTGATTGTTGCTCGCCCTTTGGAATACGAGCTGAAAGGCCGTGTTTCTCGATGTCTATGAATTGTCCTAGATGTAATTGCAAAGTCTGTAGTCCACCTTGTTGTGCGTACATTCAAACTTTATGTACATAAACGTCACGCTGAACAGGTTTGATAAGTTTTTATGGAAATAGCTGCGTAGATGAGGCTGAATCTTAGTCAGAGAGGTTGTTTTCTTGTCATAGTTTTGATTTGTGATCCATGAATACCCGATTTGTGACCACAGAAGCAAAATATAAAACAAAGTGCTATGAAATTTTTTCTAGGTGATTCGGAATCGGCGGTTGATCACCTCGCTAACGCTGTTACACTTTGTGGACAGCCCCAGCATCTGTTGACGGTGCTGCATTCTTCGCTGCCTCCGCCGATTTTTGCACTTTTAGAGGAACGTTTACCGGACGCAGCAAAGGTTAGTAATGGAATTATATACTCATGAATCAACCGGTGTAAATTTCAGAGAATGAGTGAAGCTCTTCAGCAGTCGAATTTAGTGGAGGCAAAGACAAGCATGGTGGAAGACCATGATCTGGAATAAATTTTTCATTTCACAGTTTGAGGAGAAGCCACGTCGAAGCAGCATTGTTAATGTTTTTCGTTAGGCAGTAATTTTGAATGCGTTTACAGAGAAGAAGCAATTTGCTTGTGACTTGCATTGTCGATCAGTAGTGCAAACTCGACTTCTTTTTCTCTTAATATGTCTTACAGATTTGTGAAGTTGAAAATCAGAAGTTCTGGATTTTGAGCGATTTTTAACAACCGTTGGTATCCAAGGACTTCCACTGGTGTAATTTGTTTTTGTTTCATTTGAACTGATGGCTTCTGTTGTTAACTACTACGTTTACCTTTTTCGTATATAGAGTAGAAAATCCAGGTGGAATAGCGAGTAAATGTTTTTCTCTTTCTTGTTTGTCGTTCACGAAGCCCTGTATGTCCTTCTTGTTGACGATCATTCATTTATTGATTTATGGTACCAGGAGAATCAAATTTGTCGAAACGAGAAGTGGGGGAATATTTGTTTGTTTGTTTGTCTCAACCACCGGTTTGTCTCAACCACTCTGTTCTTCTCATTCCTCCACACAGCGGATGCCTAACGAACGGTGGTGTACTTTTCACTAACCTCGTCACAGTGACTATTTCCGAATCAACCAGAATCTTTTTGCGTGATGTATGGAGGCAACACTGTCGTTGGCAGTGCTATAAGATCGTAATCTAATTTTCATCTTCATCTTCCATCGCCGCTTCTCCTTTCGGGTCGCAGAGGCAGACACGTCAGACAGTGCTTCCAACGTTCCCGATCCTGTGCCAGAGTCT